GGTCACGGGTTCAATTACCAATCAGGGCACATGCCTGGGTTGTGGGCTCGATCCCCAGTGGGAGACGTGCAGCAGGCAGCCGATCAATGGTTGTCTCTCATCAGTGATGTTTCTATCTCTTTCTCCCTCTCCCTTCTTCTCTGAAATCAATTAAAAAAAAAAAAAAGACCATCCCTCCTTTGCAGCCTGATCATAAAATAATACACATTGAGAGCTTATAATATTCCAGGTTATTGTGATAGGTGTTTTCTATTCAGTTTCTCATGTAATCTTCTCAAAACCTTTTTGAGTGATAGCATTATGATCTCCATTCACAGAGGCTCAGGGAGGTTAAGTAGGCTGAGATAACACAGTTAGGAAGTGGCAGAGATGGGGTGCAAACCCAGCTGATTCCAAAGCCCCCACATATGTAACCAGTAAGCTGTGACCTTTGCAAAGCCCTGATTGACCAGGTAACACAATTACTTGTGTTTCTAAGTTTGTCCTTGGAATTGTGGCATCTAATGCATGTTGCATCTGGAGGCCATGCAATCTAATCTTGATAAGATTTCTACATGATCTGGTCATTCCTCTCTCTCCTATGTCATCTCCTAGTCTTCTCCCCTCCCCTGCTGTGCTCCATTGACCTTGGCCTTATTTCTCATCTGTAGCCACGTTGAGTCTGCATCATTGTGTCCCATGGATTTCATGTTTCTTGTGGATATTTCCAATTCTTTCCACATGGTTTTCAAACCACAAAGCTTCTTCCCAGGACCCAGAAATTAATACAGCTTTTCCCAAGGCCTTTTGTTGCTTATCCCAGACACCTGCCACTTACCCTCTGATTTTCTTCTGATTCTTAAAAGCACAGCAGTGGCTTGGATAAGAAAGGTCAGCCCGTGTGAGGTGGAGGAAATTCAAGGAAATTGGAAGTTTCTTTAGAGTCCAAGTGTTTCTTGCTATCAGTTCCTTGAGGTGCTCCAGGCCTTTGGAAGGCAGGGCAGTAACACTGGTATAAGAGACATCCCTGGCGGCGGGGGAGGAGAAAACAGAGTCATACAGAGAGGTGGTGAGCATCCAGAGCCTCTAACTGTTGCCCAGAAAGTCAAAGAAGCCCGGGATTAATGTAAAATTCACAGGCTCCTTTCTGTTACTGAATATACACTCTGAGTTTTTATATACAGCCACTGGTCTAAGAAAGGATAGTAGGCTTCTAAGTGATAGGTGACAAGGGTCTCTCATTTTTATTGCTTGGAACTCCGGTATCCATCAATACAATAACTGTTTAGCAGACATTATATTTTATCCATCGCAATACATACAAACTTTTGGAGTCAAGGACAGACATCAATTCTACTCTGGAAATCTATACCTATAGCTACTAAAGGGTTTCAAGAGGCAAGAGAAATATATTTGAACAGGCTCAAAGGGGCCAAAATTGCTCTCAGTCTCTGTGGGGAATGGGGTTTTGGGTTTAATGAACTGCTCAATGATACAGATCAACACCAATATCATGAAAATCTCCTGAAGATGCAGAACCTGGGAGTCATACCAGTTGCATGGTGAATTCATGAGATGAGAGAGAGAGAGAAACATTACGGTTGCCTCCTGTACACATCCCAACTGGGGATCAAAATTCCATTTTCCATCTTTTTAGGGAGATTTCAGGAGGCAGATGAAATAAAAGGTTATGCTGAATGCACTATTTTTGACTTTATTTTCTGTAATAATTACCAGTTTTATTTCTCTGGCTAAGATATGCAGAAGTGATTTGAGGTTTATATTTTAACTAGAGGCCCAGTGCACAAAATTCATGCATGGGTAGGGTCCCTAAGCCCGGCTGGTGATCAGGGCCGGCCTGTGGGGTGACCGGTGGGGCAATCAGGGGGCACCTGCTGGTACCCGCCTTGGCTGGCTTGGGGCCTGAGGGCTGGGGGCAGCTCCTGCATTGAGTGTCTGCCTCCTGGTGGTCAGTACACGTCAAAGCAACCAGTCGTTCCACCTGTTGTTCTACTGTTTGGTCGATTTGCATATTAGGCTTTTATTATATAGGACTAGAGGCCCGTTGCACGAAGAGATTCGTGCAATAGGCCTTCCTTCCCCTGGCTGCCGGCACCGGTTTTCCTCGGGCAACCGGGACCCAGGCCTTCCCTCGGCTGCAGCGGAGAAACCAAGCCTCTTCAGTCTTCACTCATCTTCAGTCTTCAGTCTTCACTCGGGCTGGAGCCTTCAGTCTTCGCTCCGCGCCTGCATATGAAATTAACCTCCATCTTTGTTGGGTTAATTTGCATACACATCCTGATTGGCTGGTGGTGGGCATAGAGTGACACCAATTTGCATGTTTCTCTTTTATTAGTGTAGATAGTTTAGAGAAGAAATCAAGAGTTTAGGAGAAGAAATAAAAGGCATCCAAATTGAAGAGAAGAAGTAAAATAGTCATTATTCGCAGATGACATGATATTGTACATAGAAAACCCTAAAGACTCCATCAAAAAATTGTTAGACTTAATAAATGAATTTGGCAATGTAGCAGGATACAAAATTAATGCCAAGAAATCAATGGCATTTTTATATAC